CGCGCCCACGCCGCTCAAGTTCGGCGTTGACAGACTGCTGGCCGCCGAGCCCCGCAGAGGTGAGCGCCGGGGATGTGGGGCGAGACAACCAGAGCGGTTGATGATAATGATAATGAAAATAATAACAATATTGATAGCAATAATAGTAATTATAAGAATAGTAATGATGATAATGATGATGGTAATAATGACAATGGTAATAATTATACTTAATAACAATAATAATGTTAATAACAATAATAATATCGATAACAATAATAATAATGATAATGATAATGATAATAATAATATTAATAAAAATAATAATAATGATAATAATAATAATAATAATAATAAAGATAACGATAATAATAATATTAACAATAATAATGATAATAATAATAATGATAATAATGATAATAATAATAATGATAATAATGATAATAATAATAATAATAAAGATAATAATAATAATAATAAAGATAATAATAATAATGATAACAATAATAACAATAATAACAATAATAATAATAATAATAATAATAATAATAATAATAATAATAATAATAATAATAATAATAATAATAATAATAATAATAATAATAATAATAATAATAATGATATCAATAATGATAATAAGGATAGTAATAATGACAATAATAATGATAATGATAATTATGTTGAGAAAAAAATAACAATAATAATGATAAAATATAAAGGATAAGGATATTTTTTGCTAACATGATAATAGTAATGATAAAATCATGATAATGATAACGATAATAAAAATATTGATAAAAATAATGATAATGATGATATTGATAATAAGGATGATAATAACAATAATGATAATAATAATAATAAATTTTGATAATTAGTTATTATTGTTATTATTTCTATTATTTTTATTATTATTTCTAATATTATTGTTATTATTGGCATTATTTCTATTATCATTATCATTATTATCACTATTATTTTGATTATGATTATCAGTATCATTATCTTTATTATCATTATCAGTATTTTTATTATCATTATCATTATTTTTCATTGTTATTATCATTACTATCATTATTATTTTTATTATTATTATTGTAATTATAATCATTGTTGTTGTATTTTTCCTGTTATTTCTATTGTTATTGTTACTATTGTTATTAATATTATTATTATTATTATTATTATTATTATTATTATTATTATTATTATTATTATTATTATTATTATTATTATTATTATTATTATTATCATTATTATCATTATTATTGTTATTGTTATTATTATTATCATAATTGCTATTATAATCATCATTTTTATTATCATTATCGTTATTAACAATATTTTTCAATTATTTTCATTTCTTTTATTTTATTATTATCATTGTTATTAATATTATCGTTATTAATGTTATCATCACCATCACTATCAGTATCAGTATCATAATTATCCCCATGATCATAGTCATCCTCATGATCATAATCATCGTCATTACCAGTATTAGTATCGGCACTATAATCACCATCGTCATTACCACTGAACGTAGAAAAGGTGTGAATGTGAACGAGTATCCGTTGCAGTGAAGAGGTTCATTATCATCAATTTTTATTATCAATGCCGCAAGCGCTAACACTACTTACCTTACTATTACCATTGCCTTTGTTATCATCGGTCATTTGCATTTTCGTCGTCATAATTATTGTCATTGTTGTCATATCAATTTTAGTGTTCGTAGCATATAGTAATAGCAGCAGTAGTAAGTACAAGTACATATTGGCTGATGAGAGGATGCTAACTTTAGTGCAAAATATTTCTATGCAGTATTGATCAAAGTACTTTCGTGGCTCTTTCGTGGCAAGATAATTGTGTCTAAAAAGTAGATGGTGTATTGTTCCAAAACATCTCATGAGAAGTGTTTATTTAAGTAAGTCTTCGCGTCTAAGTTTCTACGAGTCGCCTCGGTTGAGCCTCTTTACTGCTGGTTGCAGGACGCTTCTGTTTTGGCGCTGCCTTTTCGCTCATTTGCGTTCAAACCTTGATATACGGTGCGCTTGTATTGTGCGCCCCCGCTTACCTTATCAAAATTTTTGGCCATATGAAATTTTCAATCTCTGGTTATCTTCAGATATCAGAGTCGAGCGAAATCACATTGCAGCTTCTGTAGCTTATAGAAACCCAATTTCCCAAACCCTTAAATAATATGAATTAACATTGGTTATCTTAGTCTCTTTAGGATATGAACAGTAGCAGATTTTTATACCAAAAGTTTCTGTAATTAAATTCGAGAAATGTATTATCTAGACCATTAGTAATCAAGACCTCATGAAAAGTGATTCTAAAATGCTGGATGACGAACATTAGGAACTGAACATGTCGTTCCGGATATCTGTTCTTGCCAAGGAAGATGGACCAAAATTCAGTTTCCAGACGTTTTTTCTTCATGCGACTCTCGCAGAAAATGTGCTCTTTCCCGCATACTTGCTAAACACTCCTTCCATCTGCCGCAGCAGGAACAGCGGCGTGTGAAACGGGGCGCTTACCGTGTCACCGAGCAAGGCTTTTCAAGTGACTGCACATGTTATATTTTTTAAAATAGGAAGAAAAAGAAGAGGAAAAATATTATAAAATGGTAATCAGTCAATAAATGAATTATGTATATTAAATCACCGCATAGAGATAAGCGTAAACATTTCTGACTCGTATGCAACAGACGTTCATTTGGATCGCCTGGGCAAGGGCCATGTGCCTGAACTTTGGTCAGGGGAATACGTGGAAACAGTGCTGCTCGCGACGAAAGGATTCAAAATCAATGGAACAGGGACAGCATTCTCGATTCTTGTCTAATGGCCAGACAGGAATCCCAAACCCATGTGATAAACATTTTCTCGCGGCCCATTCCTGAAGCACAGCGGAGGCACAGTCACTCAGCGCAGTCCCTTCCCTAAAATGATGCATAAACCTTGCTCTCAAAAGCTTTCCCTAAGAAGATGGAGCGTAATGGCTACTTCATTTCCAGTTGCGATCACGATGCCCAGGTTTTCTTCATTCCTCCGTACCGAATTACTTTGATAATCTTTCATCATATATTCATGATGGTATCGTTTGGCAGGGAAATCGATATTATAGGATATTCCAGTTTCACAGATCGTCTGATAGAATGTTTGACACGGCTCTATTAGTATGGTTATGCAGCAACAGGTAGATATAGACAAGTACTGAGACACGTCCTCATGCCGGCGATTCATTGATGAACTTGGCCCGAGCTGTGGAACGCGAAAATGACATCTATTATTATCATTACCATTTTTATTGTTAGTATCATTTTCATATTTGTTGTTATTATCGTTATTATTTAATAGTAATAATAATAATAATAATAATAATAATAATAATAATAATAATGATAATAATAATGATAATAATAATAATAATAATAATAATAATAATAATAATAATAATGATATTGATAATGATAATGATAATGATAATGACAATAATAATGATAACAATAATCATTATCATTATAATGATAATGATAATAGTAATAATAATATTAGCAATAATACTAATAATAATAACAGATTATTATTGTTTTTGTTGTTATTATCATCATTGTTATGTTACCATTGTTATTAGTATTATAGTTATGATTATAATTATTATTCATTATCATAATAATAATTATTATTATATCTATTATTATTCATTATCATAATAATGATTATTATTATATCTATTATTATTATTATTTTTTTATTATTATTATTATTATTATCATTGTTATTATTATTAATAGTATTATTAATATTCAATCAGAAATATTCTTACCATCATTTTTTATTATTACTATTAGTAGTAGTAGTAGTAGTAGTAGTAGTATTGTTCTTGTTGTTATTCTTATCATTATCATTATTATTTTTATCATTAATATTTCTATTATCATAATCATCATTACTATCACCACCAATCTGAGTGATTATCATTATTATCAGCAACAACAGTACAACCGTCATCGTCATTATTGTTATTAATATCATCTTATTCTTTAACATAATTCATGTTGTCATGTTTATTAGCATGAGTAATATCAACACTATTGCTATCAGTGACGGTAGTATCAGCAGTAATAAAAGTAATGGCTGGCCATTAGCCTACCATTAGTAATACACTGTATTTTCACTCGTCTATCAGTCTGAATACGACGGTTGATGTCATTCTTATTATTATTATTAAAATGTTCGTATATTTATACCATATTGCGAGATGCGAGATTAGTATTTATGTTATACGAAACAAAATACTGTGAATATAACTTGTAAGCTCGCAACGGTACATGTAATAGTGGATAGGACTCATCCGCGCAAAACGGTGAAAATAACTGATCGACCCGCAAAGGCTAATATAACTTAACAGCTCGCAACGACACGCTGACAGTTTGGCTTTTAACACGACCTCCTGTTCCGTCTCTCCCGGGTGGCAGGAACCCACAATCGTGTAAACAACCCCCCCCCCCCTCGAGATCCTGCTACTACATCCCCTCGGCCGGGACGGGGTGGGGGTGGGGAGGAAAGGGGGAGACAAGGAAGGGGGAACAGGAGAAAGGAAAGGTAAAATAGAGGGCAGGAGAATAAATGAGAACGGGAGCACAGGGCGGGAGAAAGGCAGGAGAGCGAAACAAAAATTAATGATTAAGCCGGGAGGTGTCCAGTCGATAACATAAGAGAGGCTAAAAAAGCCCTTATTTTTAGGATGTGTAAGGGTCAGCGTTAAGGTAAATGATTACCAAACTTGCTTCAGATTTTTTCTTTATTCAGCTATGGTCATTTCGTGATATTTTGTTATACTAATTGATTTTTCTAAGGATTGATTCAAAGTTTAATAATCATTGCATTTATTTTCGACCAGTCTCATTATTATAGATTTACAATGGATTTCTTCAATCATTTATTTATCTGGTTCTCTCCCTACGTCTTCATTTGCCCATTTTATTGCTCGCTTTATTCATTTGCGATCTAGCATATTTTTACGTATATGCGCATGACAAATGTGCATGCAGATCCGCATATAAAACTTCTTTATAAAGCTGCCACGTGCCTCTGTTCCTAAAGAGTTAAAACACTGGAACATGGATACGCGCAGGAAAATCATGCCATGAAAATAAACCTTTCCCGATCCCACGAGGCATATGTCTGGCCTCCTCCGCCCGCTCCCCCTCCCGGCCTCCTCGGTGTTGATGAATGTAACACGAAAAGGATAAACTTACAACGCGCTAAGGGGTGGGTCGGGGAGGGGCACGAGGTGGCCATGTAGGGTATATGAGGGGTAGGCGAAGGCGTGAGAGTGAGGTATGTGATGTATGTTTGTGTTTGTAAAAGACGCGGGGACAGCCGTCTTTCTCGCCGACGCGTCACAGAGCTCCGAGAGGGCGCTGGGTCAAAAGTTCAGGTCAGAGGAGAGACGAGCGACTGACTCGGGTTAAGAGAGAATACTGAGGGGCTACAGAGGAGTTAATGATAATTATTATCTGTAGCAACAACTTCATGAATGCGGGAAGATAATTATGAGATAATGATCAGATAAACCTTTATATAATCCACTTAATGTTTTGCAGTATTTCCCTTCCCTCCATCTCCCACTCGTGTTTTGTTTTTTCTTTTTGCTTTGCCTTCTTTCGTAATTACAAACATCATCCTTCATCCACTCTTCCTTTCCTTCGCTTTAGTCATTTACTCTCTCTCTCTCTCTCTCTCTCTCTCTCTCTCTCTCTCTCTCTCTCTCTCTCTCTCTCTCTCTCTCTCTCTCTCTCTCTCTCTCTCTCTCTCTCTCTCTCTCTCTCTCTTCTCTCTCTCTCTCTCTCTCTCTCTCTCTCTCTCTCTCTTCTCTCTCTCTCTCTCTCTCTCTCTCTCTCTCTCTCTCTCTCTCTCTCTCTCCTCTCTCTCTCTTCTCTCTTTCTCTCTTTCTCTCTTTTCTCTTTCTCTTCCTCTTTATCTCTCTCTCTCTCTCTCTCTCTCTCTCTCTCTCTCTCTCTCTCTCTCTCTCTCTCTCTCTCTCTCTCTCTCTCTCTCTCTCTCTCTCTCTCTCTCTCTCTCTCTCTCTCTCTCTATCTCTATCTCTCTATCTCTTTATCTTTATCTTTATCTCTCTCTCTCTCTCTCTCTCTCTCTCTCTCTTTCTCTCTCGCTCTTTCTCTCTTTCTCTCTTCTCTCCTTCTCTTCCTCTTTATCTCTCTCTCTCTCTCTCTCTCTCTCTCTCTCTCTCTCTCTCTCTCTCTCTCTCTCTCTCTCTCTCTCTCTCTCTCTCTCTCTCTCTCTCTCTCTCTCTCTCTCCCCTCCCCCTCTCTTTCTCTCCCCCCCCTCTCTCTCTCTCTCTCTCTCTCTCTCTCTCTCTCTCTCTCTCTCTCTCTCTCTCTTCTCTCTCTCTCTCTCTCTCTCTTTCTCTCTCTCTCTCTTCTCTCTCTCTCTTCTCTCTTCTCTCTCTCTCTCTCTCTCCTCTTATCTTCTCTCTCTCTCTCTTCTCTCTCTCTCTCTCTCTCTCTCTCTCTCTCTCTCTCTCTCTCTCTCTCTCTCTCTCTCTCTCTCTCTCTCTCTCTCTCTCTCTCTCTCTCTCTCTCTCTCTCTCTCTCTCTCTCTCTCTCTCCTCCCCCTCTCTTTCTCCCCCCCCCCTCTCTCTCTCTCTCTCTCTCTCTCTCTCTCTCTCTCTCTCTCTCTCTCTCTCTCTCTCTCTCTCTCTCTCTCTCTCTCTCTCTCTCTCTCTCTCTCTCTCTCTCTCTCTCTCTCCCTCCCCCCCCCCTCTCTCTCTCTCTCTCTCTCTCTCTCTCTCTCTCTCTCTCTCTCTCTCTCTCTCTCTCTCTCTCTCTCTCTCTCTCTCTCTCTCTCTCTCTTTCTCTTTCTCTTTCTCTTTCTCTTCCGCTTTATTTTTTTTCTTTGTTTATCCGTTTATCTCTATCTTTCTTTCTGTTTCTTTCTCTCTCGCAACGACACACACGACACACATCAGTGACCGTCATCACTGCCTTGCCTTCCTCTGCATCCTTTCTCTCTTCCCCTTCCCCTATTTCCTTTCTCACCTGCTCCTCTAGCCTTCTCTCGTCCTATCTTTGGCCTCACGTTATTCGCCCTTCCCTCACGCCCAAAAGAAGTGAGAAAGCGAGTGAAGTTGGGAGTGGGGGGGGGGGGGGGGGCTCGTTGGCTCAGCAAGGCGAGTTGGCGGCGGATGGTGTTATAGCGTTGTAATGCTGATGATGACGATAATGATGATGATGATGATGATAAGTCTTGTTCGTGTCATGTTGATGATCGATGCGTAAACAATCCCTCAGCTCTCCGGCCGGCGCCTGTGGAGGGCGGCCTCGCCTCGCTCCATGGATGAAGGGAGGGCGAAGGGGAGGAGTGAAAGAGAGAGAGAGAGAGAAAAGAGGCGAATGAGCAAGGGCACGTGGATAGATTGATTGTGAAAATAGTTGTATAAGTATTCCATTGCTCCAGAGGTTCATACTTGTATATTTCTCTCTCTCTCTCTCTCTCTCTCTCTCTCTCTCTCTCTCTCTCTCTCTCTCTCTCTCTCTCTCTCTCTCTCTCTCTCTCTCTCTCTCTCTCTCTCTCTCTCCGCCGCTTTCTGTATGCAAGGTATGCAAAGCAGAGCGCTTCTTTCCTGTTGAATGTTGCCTCTCCGTTTCCCTCCATCTCACTGAGTGTCTTTCTCCGCAGACGTATCGGCACTCTTGCCGCCCTCGCCAGCCCACCTTCTGGCCCCTCACGTGACCTCGCCGGTGACCTGCCCTGCCATGACGTCGTCCGTGCTGGGCGCCACCACCTGTCCGGTCATCACCACTGCCCCGAATGCCCCGGGAGAGACATGCCCGAGCTTGGCTTCGTCCTCCTCTGCCATCACCTGCCCTATCATGACGTCATGCGTGACCTCGCCCACGGGGTGCGGGTGTGATACGTCAGGAGGAAAGTGCCCTTCCGACTGCGGCTACTACTACACGCCTCTGTACGCGACGCATCCCTCGCACCTCCTGCCCTACGCTCCGTGTAAGTTCTGCGCCCCTCTGTCGTTGCCTTTGTCCCGTGTATTGCTGAATCGGTTAGATCTTTAGTTCTATTGCCACTTTTTATGATGCAGCATTTTACATTTTGCAAGAGAGTCATAAATTTTCTCTGTGTTTTCGACCTTGTCGGCCAGCCAGTGGTTATCCATATTGAACATTCTAGTAGATTTTCTGTGCTTTAGTATCTGTTGGTGGCTGCATGCGCGCTTTGAATGTCTTCCGAATCTAAATGAGTTTTCGGCGGTGCAGTGTAACGCGGGCATGAACATCTTACCTACACGCGCACACTGACGCAGTCGCACACATGCCGGTGCGCACACGCCAGCTGGAGACGGCCACTATGAACGCCATAAAACGTGGGGGGTCCGAGGCCCTTGCTAAAACATCTCTGTGTCATCCCAGCCAGCAGAGTTTGCTACTATTTAGGCTAATGTTATGGTTAGGCGAGCTCCTTCTCATTCCCCCGTGCAGATACGGTCTTCGGCGGGGCGCGTGCACGCTTGTGCTATTTATTATTACCCTTCCTCATTTCCGGATATTTTTCATTCTCTCTGCTCTCCCTCTCTCTCAAGCCTCCCGCTGCGTCGATGACAATGTTTACATGAACTTCATTATTAAAACACTGTGCACATATACTATCGCGCGCTTAAAGTCGGGTGAAAATAACCCTTTCGCGCCCTGGTTGTATACACATCACTCTGTTATAGCAACACTTCCCGAGCACCTTATAGCGTTAAGGGTTTAGTTTTGCTGTCTGTTTATGTGCCTCTCCAGCCTAACGTGTCTGGCTCATTTTCCTCTGAAAGTTGTGTGCAATAAACGGATCCTGTGATTCTGCTTTGAGGTCTTCTCCTCTTCTTGCGCCCGAGTGTGTGTGTGTGTGTGTGTGTGTGTGTGTGTGTGTGTGTGTGTGTGTGTGTGTGTGTGTGCGTGTGCGTGTGCGTGTGCGTGTGCGTGTGCGTGTGCGTGTGCGTGTGCGTGTGCGTGTGCGTGTGTGTGTGTGTGTGCGTGCGTGCGTGCGTGTGTGTGTGTGTGTGTGTGTGTGTGTGTGTGTGTGTGTGTGTGTGTGTGTGTGTGCGTATGTGTGCGCATAAAATGCTATTATTTATGCATATGTTTGTTTGGAACTTCGTTTATCTTTACTTCCTTACTTGCATACTTTAGCTCATAAACACAAAGTTATCCCCAATATTATCTTCCTTTTCCATTCCCCTCTGAATGCTTTAAACAAATGGCGTTGGGAATGAACACCGATTTCGCGACGATGCACCACAGTAACATCCGTGACAGTACCTTAAGCAGCAAACACTAGAGTGACAGCGATATATACACACGCCACTCAAGAGCACGGACGATGAACATGTCCAGCAGTCTGTTACGGAGTTTCCTTCTCGCTCCCTCGCTGCCCTGTGCTTTGGTCTCTGTCTGTCTGCCTGGCTCTCCCCTCTCTGTCTGTCTGTCTCCCCCCCCCTCTCTCTCTCTCTCTCTCTCTCTCTCTCTCTCTCTCTCTCTCTCTCTCTCTCTCTCTCTCTCTCTCTCTCTCTCTCTCTCTCTCTCTCTCTCTCTCTCTCTCTCTCTCTCTCTCTCTCTCTCCCTCACTTCCCATACTCCATCTCGTGTTGAGAGACCGAGCGGGCGGCTGGGGAGGCGAGGTAGGGCAGCAGGAAGGGGCGGTGGGCGGCCCTGCTGCTTGTTTAATGTTGTTCTGGGGGCGTCACACGCCGGGTGGGGGGTCGTGGCTGAGGGTAGGGGTGAGGGAGGAGATGGAGGTGTGGGCGGGGGTGGGGTGGGGGTCCTGGCAGAATAAATAAGCTCGGGCATCATTACCGGCCTGGCTGTGGCCTCCCCTCCCCCTGCCTCCTCTTTTCTCTATCGCTTGTTTTCGCATTTGGAAGTAGTGTTCTTTTCACCATCGTTTTCTCTGTCTATTCATTCTCGTTTTCTCTCATACCTGTTTTTTTTTTCATTAAT